TTCAACAGGTTTCCTGTACCCACAGGAAGCACTGTAGTTGTTGCAAATTTCTAACTCTAGCGATCCTTTTTTTCCCTAGAAACACTGCTGGTCACAGGTATTCACTCTTCTGACCACTGAGGTCAGATCCCAAATCCTCATTTACATTCTAAGCAAAGTCCTATTTTTATTTCATTTTAGCGTATTTTGTAATTTCCTACCATCTGAATATTTCATCATACTTTAAAGCATCTTTGCTGCATTTCTCTGTCTTCTTTAGACATCTTGAAGCAAGCCTTGATCAAGGCAGATTTATTTGCGGAAGTCATTTATATGTAATTTCAGAATGAAAAAGGTAACTTTTCTGAGCCTTTCACCAGAAGTATTTGTAAAACATGGAAATACTGCCAGTGTATCCAGCACTCCTATCTTTTTTTCTGGTTAATGCTGCTTCTCTACGCAGGCAGTTACTGTATGGCACAGTGTATGAAAAGAAAGGCTGTATAAGAGAATTTTCTATTTTTTATGCAGAAAACATTAGTGCTGAGCATTCACATTGGATTCTTTTCTATAGACCAGGTCTCACTCAAGACTCGGGAGATGTTTAAAAACACAGAAATTACCTGCATCTAACACTTCTGCTAGTAGAAGGAGATATAAAATGCAGCAGTTGTTGTTAACTTACGTAGCGTAGATCCGCATCTTAAGTTCTGATTCAGAACTTTGAGAGTACGGGAGGTAGAGCACTTAAGTAGCCAGCAACTACTCAATGTAGCAGGTCCTGCATTTGCATTTTGAATGCTGCCAAGTAGGACAGTAATAAATTGTATTTACCAGCTCTGGTATTTGCAAAGAAAGCTGTACCAGTGCTCTGTCCCATTTGTAGCCCTCTGGATAAAAAAAAAACAGCTAAGCCCGTTTCTGCAAGGTCCAGAGAGGACCCATCCCACTTTACTGCCCTGCAGAACAAATGCAGGAATGGAGAGGTTTGGGAACTGTGTGTCCCCCACCACCCAATAAACCAAAACAAAAACCACAGGACAGTTCAGCAAAGAGTGTCTAGTTATGTTGCATGGCTTATTAGGACTGCAGCTCTAACCTGGAATACATCAGTATACACTTGCAACATGCCGCTCTTTCCAAAAGCAAGTTCTTTCATTATACAGGACAGACGTGCATGGGACTGCCTACCAAACATGTGGGGCCATCTCTGTACTGCAATGGTTTGTGGGCACATCAGATAGCATTCTTAGATGCTGTATTATTGGATAAATTCTGCTTTAGTGAAAGACTTGAAAGGAAACTTCATACATATGGCAGATATGCAGAAAGTACAGTAATTCTAAAGGAAGTCAAAAGTGTTGCTTTCCACTGTGCGTGTTATGTCACATTCCAGTAGGTCATAGCAGGATGCATGACTTGAGATAGTGTTTACATTAGAAGTACACTTATGAAGTGCTCCATCAGTTTTATATGTGTCTAATGCTACCAACAGGAGTTGGGAACATTTGTGCTTCTCACAAGAGCTGCTTCATTTGCATTGCAAAACCCATCAAGTTTTCAGTCTAACTTGTTAGTGCTGCCACATTCCATCTATTTTTTAGAAAATAGGTGACCTGGATATTTATTTATCCACCCAAGACTGCTACTCCCATTGAGCTGCATTAATTAATAATTCGATGATCTTAATCTTAAATCTGTTCAACTGGGCAGAATTCCTCTTTAACTTGTTTCAGCCTATAGAATTACATTTTATGTATCCTGATTGAAGACATTACCCTAGGCTATCATTTGTTTTGCCTTTATTCTGGAAAGTGGAGGTCATACCTAGGATAGGGAGAGGGAACCAGATAAGCAACTTGCCTTTCATTTAGCCTGAAGTGTTGTATTACAATAAACCATTTTGCTGAGCGAGCGGTGAATGTGACTGTCATAGTCTTATACAAGTTTTACTAAATGGTTATAAAAAAAAGAATTAACTGAAAGGACACCTTTGTCTGCATTTGGCTTTAAGATTGCAAATGTTAATGATGATAGATTGCAAACGTTAATAATGATAGATTGCAGAAACCATTAAGAAATGCTGTAATTTGGAGGCCAAGCGAGTCAGAGTAACAAAATGTAGTGTTAGCTTTCAGTGCGTTGGTCCTGCTCGCTCGCTTCTTACACTGGAATGACTGAGTTCATGTGCTTTGATGATTAAACAGCTCACCAGTTCAGGCTTTACAACATGTCGTGGGTGCCCTGTCATCACCCCAGAGATTATTATCAGTATCAGTATTTAATACTGATTATTATCAGTATTAACCAGTATCACTGTTGCAGGCTTGCATTAGGCATGTGAGGGTGGGGAGGGAAATGAACACAGTTAAGTAGGCTAACAATGGGAAATTTTAAGCACTTTACAAACCCTTCTGCCTGTACTTCAGGGCAATTCTTTCATTTTTGTGCTTATTGAAAGGAACAAAAGCTGCGTAGATTGCATCCTCTCTGAGGGATTAAGCCATGGTTCTGCACAGACCTCACATCTCGTAGGAGCCGCTTTGTTTCTAACGGGACTCGAGCCTTTACATTTCTCTTTTGTGGGGAAAATAAAATCATCCTGCTAAAAGCATTTGTGCTCTCCACAACACTCAATTCACACATATTGGCCACTGCTTAACTTTGGTGTCTCTTTTATGTTCCATACAGCAGGCTCCAATGTACTCAGCAGGGTGACTTTCAGTAGGCACTGCAGAGAGCTTTGCAGCACATCAAAAAGGGCTTCCTTGACTAGTCACTTGTTTCTGTTAAATTGAAGCCAAATTTCACATGAAGGCACATCAGGAAAAGAGGAGGAGGGAGGTGGGCATTTTGTGTGGGGTTTTTGGTTGCTTGCTTGTTTTGTTTATACTTAGTGGTTTACACTTCGTTTGTGTAGCTGCCTATATTGCGTGAACACGTTTACTGTAATACCTATGTGTGCTCCAGATGATTTCAAATAGAGCAAAAACATTGTTTCCAGTGTGAATATCCTCTTTCTACTCTGAAATCTGCAATAGGAATAGAAGGCATTTGGCCCATTCAGGTCACAGAAGCCCTTGACCACTGGAACAAAAGGGAGTTAAGCAGAAAGAACTTCCCACTTAGCATAGCAGTATTTGAGACCTAGTGCTGTGGCTTCTTCTACCCTCAGAGCTCTGAATTAGGTGCCTAGGCCCCATACACAGTCCTTGGGGGGCAAAAAGAGGCACCAAGAATGAGATTCATGAAGTGCAGCCAATACAGTAGGTGTTTGCCCCAGCCCAGCTGCTGAAGCCAGCTTTCTCCACTTCCTTAGTGCAAGATACGAACTGAGGATGTCCTGGACACCGAAACTGAGATGAGGAATAACTGATAAATGAAAGATACAGCGTTAGTTAACTCAGATGACAGAAACACAAGCACATCCAGCATCCATTAGAAGCACAAAGAAGTTGATCTCAATTTTGGGTTTAGGCACAAACACTCGTGGTAAACTGCAATTCCCAATTTCCAGTTCAAACACAGGGAGCTGACCCTGGGTCTATGCAACGCTGAATCTATGCAGAGAAAAAAGCCATAATCAACAGTTTTCATTAAGAATAGAAACTGTATGTTGTGCTAAAACCAAAACAACACAAGTGTTTCTTCTGACAATGAGAAAATATCCATTAGCTAGAGTTTTATATCTGAAAAGCATAATTCAAAGCTCATTGAATTAATTTGGGGGGTGGAGGGGAAAAAGCACCACAATAAGCTTTAGAAGGCCAAAGTAACTTGGGGGCTAGGGTGTGTGCTTAGAATAAGGGAACAAATAGCATAGAATAAAGCTTTGACTAATTTTCTATCCTAGTTTCTTCACATTTCTTTTATGTCAAGCAGTTTTATTACTTATAGATAGCTTAGAGTTTATGCTCCCATCAGACACCCAAATTTAACTACCATTATTAATATGATTGTCAATATTAGTTATGCAGCAGTGGGAAAATACAGTTCACTCAGCATTTTGGTGTGATGATATATTAAAATGCCTACTGTGTGCCTGTCTGTCTAGAAAAGTAATCAGTGAAAATTTTATCTAGACTGCACGTAGGCCTACCAAGGAGGATTTATGGGAGCCTCATGTTTTGAATTTTGTGGATTATTCTAGAAACGGTCTCTCTCTCTCTCTTGCCCAGAGCCATATTTAAAACTTAAAGCTTTCAAACCTAATTCTGTATTTCATTAGCCAGGTCTAAAGAATGTAAAAAATTACCCTACTCTGTATATCTTGGAAGAAACTTCCCAGACACTAATGTGTACAAGTTATCTATGATCTTTATTAGGCAGGCAAGAAGCTGAAAGAACTTAAACCAGAATTCAAGGCAAAAAATGTAATTTATGTCACATGGATGATGAGTTAATTTTAATTTACGTCTGCAGTTAACTGTGTGATAGACTGAGTGATTCAAGGCTTGCTGCGACTCAACAGTGAAGGCAGGGCTTTACTGTGGCAGTAGTAAGATGAGAAGTGAACAGAGGCAACACTGAGGATTAGCAACATAAGATTACAGAAGACAGTTCATGTCAGAATTCAAAGGAGAATCAATTTTTTGCATGTTATCCTACATACAGGACACCCGTGGCCAAGGCACTGGCCCTCTTTTGCCTATTTTGATGTTTCAGAGGTGCAGCAGAGTCCTTGAGCTAGGGAACTGAAGCAAACAGGGCAGCTTTTGGCTCATGATCAAAAGGCATGGCTAGAAACAGCTCAATTCTAGAAACCTCATTTGCTGAAATGGTACCCTGGCAATTGAGGCTACCTTAAACTGTGTCCGAAATTAAACCAGCCTGTGACAAAGGGAACCTTCACCTCAAATCCAGCCTAGTGCTTATCTTGTTTCTAGCTGAAATATTTTTCACAGGAGCAGTGAGCTTTAGTGGATGGACATCCAAATGTTCTCTAATCTGTATTATCACACAGTAACAACACAAGTTCACAGTGTTTAATATAAACACTTTTTTTTCTCCCATCTTTCAAGGGAGGCCCAATCCAGAACCGAAAATCCAAGCGTTGCCTGGAATTGCAGGAAAACAATGAAAATGAATTTGGATTTCAACTCGTCCTTCAGAAATGCACTGGACAACGCTGGTCTATAACAAATGTCCTGAAAAGCTTTTCATCATAGACTAAATTTTTTACCCATTTCTTTTGCTACTGTGTAGCAAATACTGCAATTTTGCCTGCTGTACTGTATTCCTCTCATCCTCCACCCCCTTGTTCCTTCTCTCCTCTTTTTTGACCCTTTGATTTTATTTCATTTTATTTTGTGAGTGTGTGGGAATTGGGTTTTTGGGCTGAAAATAAGACTTTTTTATTTCACAATGATGTCTTCATGGCATTTATAGAGATGTTGAATGACAGCTGATGGGTAGGCTATCCTAAAATATTTTACAACTGTAAATAGGAAACAAATGGAGAATATTTATAATTCAAACTTTTATTGAATAAAAAAGTCCAAATACTATTACTGTCTAGCTGTCTCCATGGAAATCATTTGGCAGTACAGTGGTGGTTTCATTGTTTTCATTAACCCAAGCCTTATCTCTGCAAGTTGTTGCCGAGTATCAGTATTCTCCAGACCTGTGCTAAAAGGTTCTGCCCACACATGAGCTACAGTGAGGGAGGATTTTCTCCTTTCTCCCGCCAGGGAGACCTGTCTAGGTCACTGTAGTGACTAGTGTGCAAATATGGGGGCAAGTGTGGTGTGTGGAGGTGTATAGGTGTGTAATATGCACCCACGTACTTTTCCTCACCAGGACTACTAAAGAAAATCGCAGAGAGAACCCCACAGCTCAAGTGAGGAAGGGCAGAGAATTAATTAAAAAGAAAAAAAAAGGCTACAATGAGAAAAGCAGCAAACAAAACCACAACCAACCAAAAGAACCCTGGCATTTCTCGATGGGTTGGCCTCCATTTCACGGACTGCACTTTCCTTCCAATCGTTCATAGTTTTAGCAGCCTCTTTTTTCTTTTTTGAATGCACTGTTCCCTGAGTACTGCAGACTTCTTACAGACTTTTGTAAAAATTGCTCCATCCAGGAGCAACTGCAAAAATTATGAATTCACTCTGCCTTCCTCCCTGCCTTTAAGGAGGTGTGAATGCAATGCCATATCACTTCGCCTCAGCTAGAACTGGGATTAAGAGTGGAAGAAACAGTCTGATGAGAAACCTGAACACTAGGATTACTGGCCTCTCTATTTCCAGCTGCTTTTACTTGTATGTGAATTCCCTCTCTTTTATTACTGTATTTGTTCTTTTTATTCTGTTGTTTGTTACCTTAAGTAACAGTCATAACCTCTTTAGGAGCTGCTTATGTGCCAAACTGCCTTTTACAGACTGGCTTCACATGCAGGACCAGCGAGCAGTGTTGTTTCTTATGACTCTTTAATAAGTCATGTGGCACATTAATTATATGGTTCAACCTGCTGCTATGTATAGTTACTATACATCTGCTTCTCAAGAAAGGAAAACGCTGAGCCAATAACAGGAAAACAGTAACAGCCAATAAAGATGGTCTTAACACCTGCACTTGGACTGACTTCAGAAGGCCCTCTGGCCTGTGTGAGTAAAAACTCCCATTAAAATTAGAACCCTGAAAGAACAGCAATAACATGAGTGTCAGGGTACCACAGCTGGACAAGATAAAGCGGTTTTAGTTTCACCCTGAAGAGAAAACAGGAGGTTGCTACACAAGCGAGCCAAGCCTCTTGCACACTGGAGCACATGCAGTGTCCGGATGGGACAGGGCTCAGCACATAGCATGCAGAGCCATTTTGAGCATTCCCAAGTTCCACCGCTGACCAACTGGACTTATTTTTCACAGTCATGCCAGGTGAACAAGGAGGAAACTGCGTGTTCAGACAGAGAAAAAGCACATAACACATGCAGGGTAGCATGAGATAAACTAAGCTTCCTTTCAGCAAAGATACCAAGACTTCAGTGCATGGAGATGCAGCCCTAAGGAAAAAACAAGTAGTATGGTTCAAACCAGTCTCCTCTTAAGTCTTACAGGCCTACTGCACTCTGAGCAATCACTTTCTGGTTTGGGGTTTGGGGTCTTTTTTTTATGAGCACTAGAGGGAGATACCTGACAAAGACTGAATATTGTATGTCCAGCATTTGCCCGGAGACGATTGTAGTTATTCCCAATTACAGTACATTGCATACTGCTGCTCATTGCCAAGGGTTAAAAAAAACAACACCCAAACCCTTGAGTGAGCCATGTAGTCTCACCGGGCCATGTTTGGTGCTATCCAGCCGTACCTCCCCACTGCACAC